TAGGTAAACATGCTGTATAGACGTACACATATGTATATACTCATACTACATACACCAGTATATATATAGACATACACATATTCACATGTACATGTACGTACAGATATGTACACATACATGTGTACTTTTATACTGTATTCATGCTGTACACACAGACATACTGTATGTACACATATAGTTAGGAGTTATACCCATATCCACAGAGAGCTGTACTGCATTCACACGTACATATATACAAATACTTTTCACACGTTACTGTGTGTAAAGCTGAGTTTGCTGTTTTATGATGAACAGCAGATTTGCTGTTACATCACACTGACACACACACACACACACACCTGACAGACATCTGTTCTGAGTGAATCTCCCAGCGTCTGCAGTGCGGCTGTGTTTGTCCTCTGTTCCTGGACGTTTTCTCCAACAGGCTGAGAAGATTCTTGAAGTCCATTGAATTCATAAATGTCCTGTCGACAGCAGCTCCAGACACACAGACACAAACACACTCTCACTCTTCGTCTCTGTTTCTTCTTTTTTTTTTCTTTGTTGCGAGGCAGTGAGTTGGAGTCGGTTCTGAATAAGCCCTTTTCAAAGTCAAAGACCGCTGTTGGATTTGGCCACGGTGCATAATAAATGTGGATCAGTTTGGAGGTGAAACGAAGAAGGCATCGTGGTCTGACTCAGCAGAGTGAAGTAAGAAAATCAGCTCGGAGGAAATCAGGAGAAATATATTTCTAAACACACCACTCACTGTTTCCATCAGAGAAATTCTTGTAGGAATTCTGCAGTAAAGCTGCACCAGGTCACAGCCTGCTCTGCTTCCAGAAAATCCAGTCCAAACGTTTCACACAGAGAATCCTGTCGGTCAGAGCTTCAGGGTTTGAGTCGAATCCCTTTAAATGTTTCACTTAAATTTGAGAGGAATTTGATTTCTGCTGCTGTGATTTCCTAATTGGAGGGTTTGAAAAAAAAGAGATTGAACAAAAATGTAACGCTCAAACGAACACTTGACAAATATATGACTTGTCGGATCAGTTGGAGACGCCGAGAGACACGACGGCTCCGTGGTTATTATTCAAACCAGACGCTTTTTAGACATTTTTACATCTGTCTTTTCTGACAACATTTTACCTAGAATTAGTACAACTGTGGTGTAGGTCTGGGGGGAAAACCAAGGAAGAAGAAGGCAACCCCCCCCCCACCTCACCCACCTTCCTCCACCACCTCCACCCCCCCATCCACCACCTCTCTGGAGAATTTAATTTATTACATTCCAGAGATGCAGTTACAGCTTCAGATTTTAATTACTGTACAGTTGGGGGAGACAGTGGGGGGTGTTGGGGGGTTAGATTTCACCTCGAAATCTTTACACATTTACAGACAAATACCAGCTGGTATTTGTCTGTAAATAATATTCCGTGGAACTGTTCTCTGGTCGAGTTTTCAACCGTGTGTTGGCGAAGTCCGTTGTGTCCGACAGTTTGGCTCCGACAGTTTGGCTCCGACTCGTCCCACAGGGCAGAGAGATCACAGGTTTAAGTCCAGGTTTAAGAACTAATGTTAGCTTCCTGTCAGTGAACGGCCGACTCAGCACATTATCGCTCCGATCTGCTCCTCTGCGGCTCTCGGTGAATTTGATTCAGAGCCTCCTCGTGTTGCTGCGATAATAGAAAAAAAAAAAGGGAAAAACTTGAGAGCAGCATTTTTTAACACGGACAACCGCTTTGATCACCACTGCAACAAAAAGAACAAGTGAAACCTGGTT